GCAGAACTTGACTTTAAGTTTGAAATAGTTTTTCAAAATGGCAGTCGTGGCGGCCTTATTGCNACATCTTGGGATGGCAGAGCGCAAGAGTTAGGTCACTGTGACCTATGACTTGACCTTTTCTTTTGAAAATATTTGTCCAGGGAATATCTTCTATACTATTTTACCTGGAGTAACCAGATTTTCCTTTGGTGTACAAGGACATCTTGGGATGGCGAGTGCAAGAAGTAGGTCACTGTGACCTATGCTTTGAACAGTAGGTACATCAAATCATTGCCGGTGGGGGACTATGGATTGCCTTGCAATACTTAGCCTTGTTTTTATTCATATTAAAGTTCCCTCATATCGGAACACATGCCTTCATATCTCAAGCACCATGCATCTAAAATATAATAAAAGCAACTTTAAACTGAAATATCATTTTTTTTATTCTCTTTAAATATGTGACAGATTTCTTGTGAATTCTGATATGCAGGATTAAGGACAAAAAAAATGTATTTCAGAAATTGAACGTTTAGGATATTTCTTGAACACTGGACTATGTTGCAGGTACCCTTGAATATCCTCTATTAATTAAATATATAATTGCATATCCCTATGGAAGATTAATATCACATTACAGTAGAAATTTAAATACATGCAAAAGTTCATTTGTAAAGTAAGAGCACTTTCTATAAACATCTATGAGTATTCAGCACAACTAAACCTGGATATATAAGCATACTGCACCTGTTATCAAAATTGTCACTTCACAGAATAATATACACATACATTGTAGGCAATAAGCAAAATGAATAAACAGACCAGGATATGAAATTATATTAAATAATCTGAAAAAAAACTATTTTCAAGTAAAATATGTATACATAAATAAATCATCATTTCATTCAAGAATTATCTGCCTCTGGTGTCATAAATATGATGGATCATTATATGATGTCTTGATCGGTTTGATATAGCGTTGGAAGATATCCTAAACTATTGAAAGGTAGCTATGGATATAAAATACATGTACTAAGACATTCAAACAAAAATATCAACTATCAATTCCTTTAAATTATATTTTGTGGATTGAAATAAAGATTCAAAGGCCTAAAAAACTGCTTTTTCACGTTATTGAAGAGTTTAAACTTTGACCTTTAAAATAGGTCGTAAGGTTGTTCCAAGTGTTATACAAGGAAAAAATGTTGATATGCAGTGTTCTCAACATAAAATTATAAAGATCCTAAAATTCTTATATAAGTATGTTATTTTATGTTATAAATTATACTTTTTATAGAATTTCCCATTAAACTTTCGGCTTCAATATGTAGGGGTTTGGGCATGAAGAATGGACCTGGTCCATCAAAATGTGTAACAAGGTAAAGGAAACAAACAGCACGGAGGCCTCTCATTTAAATGATCTTCCTAACCAGTTTACCGGTATCATACAATCATCAAAACATCATCACTTTTCTCTGATGATTTAACACAAACAGAATGACATTTCTAATCTCTTGTCATCAGAAATCCTGAATTTGAAGCACCTGTTTTCAAATGGTCAAAGTAGGAGAAACAAGGTGACCCCCAACCCACTTATCTTTTTTATCTTAGGTAAATATGTATCCTGGCTACAAAGTAAGACTAAAAATATATCCAAATATGAAAGATCCATCATCCATAAAATTGTCAAAACATGCACAGATAGAGAGATATGGCAGTGTTGTTTTTGTTTTACAATAAACAAATGTGCAGTCAGACATCTATGACTGATGAAGTTAAAATAGTCACAAGTCACATTTTGCCCCCATTTGCCATAAGAGTCGAACTTTAATGAGAGTCTTTAGGGCCAGACACCGACAGTAAAAGTGTTGGTGATGTAAACTATTCTTGACTTTATTATGACTTCAAAAAATATTTTGTAAACATCAAAGCAGAAATCTGCTTTATCAGTCAAATTAGACCTAATTTAGGTGAATAATAGCACATTACATTCCATCTCTGCCTTTAAGTAACAACACATCTTGAACTGGTGGTGATTCTGACTTTGCTTTGTTCCTCTGTGTATATATAGTCCTTGTTTGTAACCTGTCCCAGTCCAATACAGGTGTACCAGGTGAGGAGGGTGGATACCAGCCAGCGGTCCAGGGACATGTGTGGGTACACCCAAAGGAGAATCAAAAAGCAGAGGATGCCAGGATGTGGCATGTGGGTAATAAGACTCTGTAGCCGCCGAGACATGTATTGCCAGGGTGACACCTCACCCCACAGCCTGTAGTACACCTGCAACAGTAGGTAGAAGAAGAATGTAAGAATATTCCAGTGATGTTAATGTAATGTAATCTGCTAATGACAATTAGATGGTAAATTGATTTATAAGGAAAACTAAACGGTATAAGAAATAGCATCTGGTTACTTTTCATAGCTTGGTTTGGTGTAGTTAGAAGATTTCTGAAATCAAGACATTTTCTATGTGCTGTGTACAGCACTTTGTGCTTAATTTGGACAGTGTTTACAGTATTTGTATAAAAAGTTGTATTTTTCCTAAATCAGTTGCTATACCTACTGACCTGTTTCATCCCTATGAGGTAGAAAGGCTCCAGCAGTGCATGCTCAAGGGCAAGAACACACCAAGCAACAGTGTGAACCAAGGAAAAGAAGAGAGAAGTAACAGGAGAATCGCGGAGGTCCCAAAACCAGATGTCCCATCCACAGACTGTTTTCCAATTCTCAAACAAAAACTGCAATAACAAATAGACACAAAATGTGTATAGTTTAACATAATGAACTCTGGACTCACAAAAAGTGTAACACAATTATTATATAATATCAAAGAATAACAATTAGACATTGCCATTGATTAATTAACAATCTACAGGTATTTAATCAAGTTCATTTCAGGATGGAGCAAATATTTTTTCCACTGGAATTGTAGTAGATAATGGCATAAAGTTCAGCGTCAGGTACAGTTTACTGTCATGGAATATGATTTCTTTAATTTACTTTACTCATCTATGATTAATGAAGAGTATACAAACAGTGAAATTATCTGTGGGTGTCCAGAGAAGTCTTTCATTAACCTCTTCTTTCAAATAAATTCTCAATAAGAACCATGAAACCTAGGTAGAGTATTTGGCACATATCTAGCAGGGATGAAGGGTATTCATGATTGTTAAAATTAACATTCATGGTCTGCTTTCTAGGTCACTGGGATTAAATATGTAAAAGAAAAAGAAAAAGAAAAAAGAAAAAAGAATCTACAGAACCATAATGCTTACCGGTAGTTATAATATTTTGTATGTTTGTTGCAGGGATGAACCGTAACAAATTTGCTTTTTTATTAGTTTTAAAATGTTACCTTTGCTGTATTAAAATTTTACCTGAAGTGTAATACATGAGAGTAGGGTGTAAATAGATCTCTGCAGGAATCCTAATCTGCTCCCAATCAAGTCTTTGTACACACGACTTGACATCAAGCTGTGTTGTAATACAAACACTGCAACTAAAAGGAGATCAAACAGCAAAATCTTCAAGACCTCCTTTGAATCTGCAAAAAAACACAAAAAGCAATTCTGAAATTAAAAGTTAAAGTACAGTGACATTAGGATGAGTTATAGGTTCTTTGTATCAACTGTAGGTTTCAAACAACTAATATCTTAATCATATTGATGATGTTCACTACCCCCAACAAAAAAATTACTGGCCCATGATATTGGGTAACCCTTCTGATAAATATTGGTATATTGGCTGGGTACATTGTATTGAAGTGGATACTTATTAAATGGTATGCAGTGTGATTTGGAAAAATAGTTTTAAAATAAACAATATTACTAAAGAGGCAATCACAGTACAGTTAGTTGATTCAAGTTTCAGCTTACACAATGTTTGTTGTAGGTTCTACCGAGATAGCATATCCTTTTTTTCAAAGTCACAAATCAAATATATAAAACACTACAAATAGCTCCTTTATATTAGACCAATCAAGTTGTGATGTATTTCACATCAGATTTTTCTGTAATAAAGGGCTGTTGACCTTTATTTCCATGAGGCAATGTCAGATGCAGTAGATTCTCTTTACCAAAATGTCAATTTCTTGAAGTCACAAATCACGCGTTTCGTAATGTTAGCCACTATGGTACCTACTAAACATTCTGAACTCAAGCATTTTTTTGCATGCACTCCCAAAGTAAAAATTTAGAAAACAAGAGGCCCATGGGCCTAAACGGTCACCTGAGTCCTACAGTATTTATTTTTGTTGTTGAAATATGTACCAATTTGAGTACAAAATAGTTAAGTATAACGTTAACTTAAGTTTGTCAGGACCATGAGCTGATCATTCCTAGACCGAGTTTCAGTTAAATCGGCCTATTAGAACTTGTTTTTAAGTTTGAAATACTTTTATCAAAATGGCGGCCGTGGTGGCCATATTGGATTTCTGATCGACCCGAAAAAGAAAAAACTTTGTCAGGACCATGAGTCGATCATTCCTACAAAGTTTCAGTTCAATCGGGCCCGCAGAACTTGACTTTAAGTTTGAAATAGTTTTTCAAAATGGCGGCAGTGGCGGCCATATTGGATTTCTGATTGACCCGAAAAAATAACAACACTTTGTCAGGACCATGAGTCGATCATTCCTACCAGGTTTCAGTATAATCGGCCCAGCAGAACTTGACTTTAAGTTTGAAATAGTTTTTCAAAATGGCAGTCGTGGCGGCCTTATTGCATTTCTGATCGACCCGAAAAATAACAACACTTGGTCAGGGAGATGTCAGTAACCTTCACATGAAATATTAATGAAATCCCTTTGCCAGTATTTCAGCTTAAGTTGAAAATGTAAAATGTTAACGGACAACAGACGATGGACGACGACGTCGGACGAAGACGGATAGCAAAAGGTCACTAGAGCTAAAGCTCAGGTGACCTAAAAATGTACTTCCTAAACCAAAATTACCAGGTCACCTATGTGGGATAGAGATGTCCAACATTGGTAATCTACATGAAGGGACAGTGCATCTTAATTGCATATGCAGATATGTGACAAAAAATATGATGTTTTAAAAAATGAGCAAAGGAACACAATTCTGTAAATAGTGTGGCACAAGACCTAATTTCAATACAGGACACTCTGCCGGGAAGACACATAGTACATATGCATAACAAGTTAAGTGAATATAGCTGAAATAGGTAAAAAAAAAAAGTTGAGATATGCATGACAAACTTCGGAAGAAGAATGAACAAAGGGCCACAACTCAGTATAAATTACAGCATGAAACACAATTTTAAATATGCGTGATCCCTTTTCATTGATATCGACGGGGGACCTGTTTCTGACGGACCAGGTAAATTAGAATTGACTTAACATTATATTTTTTATGGTAAGGACTTAGTATTTATGTGAAACACTGCATTACAATTTTCATTCATCAACAGTAACAATTTGAACAGAATGCAGATTCCACAAACATCACGACCAGTTTCATCAACAATGATTAATGTAAAAATAACCTTGTATGTGGTAAACCGGATGTGTCTTCGTGGCCGAAAAAAACGCCACGGCTTTAAAAGAGAGGTTAAATAGTGCATAGCATGTAGCTATGCACATAGGTATGGACAACAATGCCTTAATCATAATGTAATGTTGGTAAGTGCTAACAGAAAAACAGTCGTCTGCTGCTAGATCCCACAGCTTACAACATTAAAAAACACATTATCCGTTTCTTACCTGCTTTTGGGATAAACATACGCATAATGATATAGAATTAAAAGGTTTTGTTTTAATATTTTAACAAAACTCGAGATGAACTAATTAACCGAGATTATTAAGTTATTAGAAATGCTTCAAGCGATTTACCGGAATTAAGGGCAGATAACTGCAAAGGTGAAAGATGGCCGGTCACGTTCCAAGAACTGTCAGAACTCTGATAGCTACTAAAATTAGTCCAAAATTCAGAGAAATCACAAAAATCGTGGAAGCTCCTCTGAAGGAATTGAAACCAGGTGAAGTTTTGGTTAAGAATAGGTAAGAATGAATAACTGACAATGATAGAATTAACGATAAAGATTGAGCATTCCAACGCAGCATCACTGTGTACTGTGTACACAGGGCGGGTCGGTCGTTTTTGATCTTGGTCAAATTTACATAAATGAAATGTGACATCTGACAGGGATAATGAGGAATTAGAAGGTTTGATAAGTACCTAACGTAGCTGTCCGTCACAGCTGCTGTCATCATTACAGCTGCTGCAATTTATGTAGGATATTTGCAAAAAATGTATCTTGGACAAGCTGGAATGTGCACGCGTGATCGGTCAAAGGTCACTTTTACATTCAACAAATTTTATTGGACAAAAAAAATGAACAATTGGATGAGACAACCGGCTTAGCCTATATAAGTCTTCTCCTAACCGGTATAGATGGACAGAAAACATAAACTTAATACTTAGCTCAACAAGACACACTCATATACACTTATACAAACATATAGGATAGAACATTCAACCAAGTTAAAATTATAAGAAAGAAAAAGAAACATTATTTGATGACATTTGAAAAACTTATAAAAATACTTTCTTACCCTGTCATATATATGTTTGTACACTCAGACCACACTCCATAAACACACACCCTCACACACACATACACATATATATATAAATATGCATTCCCAAACCCACACACACATATATATATAAATACACATTTGCAAACACACACACACACACACAAGCCCTTACTCAAAAAGCATATTGAATAAATGAATAACATATAAAAAATATATAAAAATATAAAAGGCAATGACAACAGTCCTAATTCTAATTAATTCTGTTAGTAGCAGAAATGTAATTTTGAACTTTTGAGAGAATAAATGAATTATCATCTGTTATTGTTCAGTAGATAAGCATTACTAGATGTAAGTATATCAACAGATGAATATCCAAAATGATTAGTGATGTCAGTTATGAAATGTCTATAGTTAGTATAAAGTGGACAGAAGAAGAAATAGTGTTCAGCATTTTCACAAGATGCGCCAAAAGAGAAAGAGGGATCTTTTAAAAAAGAAATGATAGTCAGAGAAGAAGTGACAGAATGATCGTGATTGTTCCATAGACGCATGACATCAGGAAAGAAACTACGGTTGTAGATACAAGTTCTAGATCTAGGAATGTTAAAAAATCTATTTGTCTGTAGATGGTGATTGACTTGTATATCAATATAAGGTTCAATAATATCAAATAATAATCAGGTGTTAAGTGTTTGAAGATTTTATACAGTAAGACTAGTTAATGCTTATTCCGTGATATTTTAATTTTTCAAAACCTGTTTCATAGTATAATTTATGGTGAGATGTACCACTTCTTAGGCCAGTTATAATTTTCATAGCTTCAATTTGAACAGATTCAAGTAGTTTTTCTTCCCGAATGTTACAGTTAATTACCCCAGACAGAAGAGTTATGTTCTAAAGTAGGACAAACCTCTCAATTTCTTCTCAATTTTATGTTTTAGCATAAGCAGAATATTTAATCTTTTACATTATTTATCATAAATATATTTAACATGATCATGATCACCCCAGGAACCATTAGAATTAAGTACTACGCCGAGATGTTTATGAGAGTTATTTTCATGTATTATCTGATTAACAAATATAAGTAAGGGATGCTGTCTATTTTTCCTAGTTATAGGTAATGCAATAGTTTCTTGATGATTAAAATTAATTTTTCAGCATTTAGCCCAATTATTAATGGATTCAGGATCGTCATTAAGTTCTTCAGCTGGAGAAGTTACATCTTTGTCAACAATTACATACAGAGACATATCATCAGCAAAAAGTTTTACATCAGTGTTAATTTCATGAGCAATATCATTAATGAATAAAAGAAATAAAAAGGGACCAAGAACAGAACCTTGTGGGAAACCAGCAGAAATTGATTTAAAATTAGAAGCATAAATAACATGTTGTATAAATAACTTTCAAACCATTTAAAGAGATTACCAAGGTCAAAGGTCACTGTAATAAAACAAATGATGATTTCAGCGTCATACTCCTAGTCATTATTCTAGCGGCAATGTATTTCTTAACAGATTTCCACAAAATTACAGGTACAGTTGGTATTGTAAAATGTATATGTGCCAGTACAGCATGTTTGTCTGAACATAGAGGCCTGCGTTCAGAATAAACTAAGTTACAGTTTTGACAACTTATTGACAACATTGGTCAAATGTCAAGGTCGACACTGTAACTTAAAATTGGATTCTATAGAAAATGACTTGTGATTCCTCTAATGCCAACATTTTTTTATGAAACTTTTCTTATCGGTGCATTATTAAGGTCACTGTTACTAAAGATACAGGGAGCAAGGGCATATTGTGAGTCTTGTAGTAGTGTAAATAGGCTACCAAAATTACAGCTCTTGATTCAGTTATAAAATGTAGGCATTTGGATGCATGCAAACATATAGTAAAATGTATTTAGTTTTAGAGCTTATGTGATCAGGTAGGGAAATTCTGTCTGGCCATTTGAATGAATGTGTTGAGTTTGATTATTTTTTTTATCCATTTAGCAAAACATTGTAAATGCTTCATGCCTTGCTCAGTGCCTTTAGTTTGGTAAATGTTGAAGATCATAAAACTAAAGTCATATGAAGTAAATTTATAGCAAAAAAATAACCCAAAACAATTCAAACAAGAGTTTTTACTGGCATTTATTGAACTTGAACCTGTGTATTTGATCAAGTTATAATATTGCATGATCGTAAGAGGCGACTAAATTTGGGACCTTATCTCTTCTCTCCTTTCTAAATAACTTTCTTTTTCCTAATGTCTCCCTTGACAATGCCTCACTTTTGGCCATTTGTTGAGCGTTCGCCCCTGTGAGGAAGGCTTTGGGTTCTGTCCCCTGGCCGAGACATACCAAAGTCTTTAAAAATGGTAGTTTCTACTCCTGCTTAACGCTCAGCAAATTAGGAGTGGGACGACTGGTTCGCCCGTTGTCAGTATAATGTGACCGGGTGGGGCGTCCTGCTGGGTGTCTTCGGCAGTATGTTTCAGTGAGGTAGCACTATAAAGTCGGCATCAGTTCCGCGCTATTACAAGAAGACAAACACGAACATATCGCAGCCTCCCAAAATACACACACATACACTACACGCATGCATCTTGCACACAGGGGAGGCCGTCCTTAAATGACCCTAGCTGTTAATAGGACGTTAAACAAAATCAAACAAACAAACAAACAAACTATTGGAGGGGGCACAGGGGAATACTCTGCAGATTTGTTGGCTACCTTGATTGAATGACCTTAAACCATTATCAAGGTTTTGGATGTGGTAAACATTTTAAACAATGTCTTTTGAATAGTCAAGAGGCAAGCATGTAGGTTTCATGATATTTCGCCTGTAGAAGGCTAGAAGCACTGCCAAGTTTATTCAAATGGATTACCTTGACCAATTTCAAGGTCACTTAGGTCAAACATGTATATGTATATAAATCTATGAATAATATGTATGATTATAGAGTGGGTAGTCGGGTGGCGCAGTGGATAGCACACTTGCCTTTCACCAAGGCGACCAGGGTTTGATTCCCCGATCAAACGTGAACAGGTTTGGGGTCACCTGCTGACCACGTGGGTTTTCTCTGGGTACTCCGGTTTCCTCCCACACTAAGATCCACCGAGCGCTAACATCCGGGCCAACAAAAGTGATTAATATAAGTTGAAATAAATTGTTTTATAATTGTTGTAAAATAAATAACATTTATATAGTTTATATATATGATTATAGAGTCACTATAAAAGAGGACACTCCCAGAGAAGAAGAAGCCGTCTAGATATTAGGAAACATTTTTTCAGTTTCTCAATTGGAACAATTTGCCTCAACATGTCATTGATGCACCCACAGTTATAAAATTTGTATTGCTAATAGACGCCCACAGGAAGAATGATTTTAATTATAATTTTTATGAACATTAATTTCACCTGAATTATATTTTACCTGAAGTAGTATGTAATATTGTGTAATTGTATGTTTTTGATATGGACACATAGAGAATATTACATGGTAAAATCCATATCACATGCCATATCAGCCCGAGGACCCAATATCAGACCGAGGGCTATTCTGTTTATGATATATACTTGAACATAAATTTTGTGCGATCTTTTTTTTTTCAATTATCAATTACGAACTTAAATTTCAAGCAAATTTTCACCAAAGATCATCGATAGAAAACGTATATTAGAAAAAAAAGTGGAATAAATTCCAATTTTAGTGTGTCGGTTGGGAAATCGCACAGAAACTATACAAAACAAATTGTAACTTTGGTGATCAACACATTTTAATGAAATAAAAACACAATTGCAACAATAGAAATATGAATAACTGTCTGTTTACGTTTATCTTGGTGTCCGACAATATAGCCTGTTTACTTTAATCTTGGTGTCCGACAATATAGCCTGTTTACGTTAATCTTGGTGTCCGACAATATAGTCTGTTTACGTTAATCTTGGTGTCCGACAATATAGCCTAGGTCCATGTTCCGAAAACCCTGATCTGCATTTTCCGACCGGCCGGTCTGATACGTGATATGCATTTTCTGACCGGCCGGTCTGATATGGGTCACGTGATTTTAGTCGTATCATATAGGGCGGGAATTGCGTATTTAGTAGTAAGTATGTGATAAAGAGCCTTAAAGCCTGTGTCCATTACGATTCCTAAGAAATCTTTATAAATAAATGACTTCTTATGAACAATAAACAAATCCTTGGGTCATGATATTTGGCCAGAGGCACCCTGGGATAATTGGCAGCCCATTATTCTATATATCATCTAATTTTTTTTAGAAATAAATTACTTTTGTTTTCTTTCAAAGCCTTGTTCTGAATAATCAAGAGATACAGGGTCATGCTGTTATACCAGTAGCATATTGGGAAACAGAATATCAACATCATTAAGATCCACTCTTAAGGTCACAGGGACAAATGTGTTAGAATTTAGCTATGACTTTTTCTTAATATTACCAAGAGGCTAAATATGGACACTACATTTAATTGTAGCTTACTGGGATGAACAGCTATCAAGTTCATTTAAATTAATGATCAGGATTTTATTGAAATGATTTGTTCTGAATAACCAAGAGACCTAGGGTCATGCTATTAGGCGAGTAGCATGCTTGGTTGAAGAGCTATCAATTTTGTGTAAATGAAGACCTTACCCACTTAAAGGTCACAGATGTGAGATAAATAACAGGTGAGTGATTCAGGCCCAGTGGGTCTCTTGTTTGAAAATGAAGATGGTCAGAGATGGTATTTCTTGATTTGTACCAAATATATATAGTGATGTTATCCATTTAAGTGACATCTCTTTTCAATATTTACTATTGAAGGTTAAGCTTTTAGAATTTTTCAAAAACTACAGTACCTGCAAGGCAGGCCACCTGCTTAAAGTTCCACCAGACAGAGTTTAACTAAATTTTGCACAATGATCCATTTATGACCCTAACCAAGTGATGATTCTCAGCTCCTCTGCCTATGTTAAGCCAATTCATTTTCAGCACCCTATGGTCCCATAATTTGATTTAAACAAACTTGGAATAATAAAACCTTCCCCTACCTTTATGGTGTGATCGAGAAATCTCCAACCCGAGGGGTGATGTTTTTTGGTTGTCTGACCCGAGGTTCAGTCACAACACCACCGACAGTAGTGTAAGCAAAAACAAATGGGGGTATGAATATCATCATTCACTTTTGATGACGTCACAACTACCGGTGACGCATTTAAATGACGTCGCAATTGAACACGTGCTAATCGGCACGAGGCTTATCTCCCCCTTGGGGATGACAAGCTTATCTTTCCCGGCTTAAACGGGAGACACACCTGTGAAGGGTGGGAGAATAAACGATCATGGTAGAGTCAAGATATTGGTCTGCAGCTTGTTAAATAGCGTGAAGGTTGGTCAACTTTGTTTGTTAAATTAATTAAAGTATGTTTTTTTCTGGTATATATTTATTTACTTATTTATTTCATGTTTGGTACAACACATTGTTTACATGTTAAATTAGTGCTGGAATATGTTTATATACAAATTGCATGATAAATAAAACTAAAATGTGGGAAAGTTTTAACTCCCAGAACTTGTTCTGTTGCAGGTTTGTTGGTATCAATGCCTCCGACATAAACTACACAGCCGGGAGATATGATCCTTCTATCAAACCACCATTTGTCTGTGGAATGGAGGTGACGTAAACTCACTCAAGTGTGCACAAACCTTAACATTGCAAACTCATTACACAGTATTCCATTGAAAGTGATGTTAGACTTTGGGTCAAATATTAATATCTTAAAAGAAATTATTCACTGCATATACAGCCTTAATTCCCACAAGTTACATGCCTGTGTAGCAGAACTGGACTGGGTCAATTGTCGGTGACCAGGTACCTCAATTGGTAAAGCACCTGGCTAAAGTTCAAAGGATCCCGGGTTCGAATCCCAGTCTGGCTGTGCATTTTTCCACTTGTTTTAGAGATACAGAACAAACTTAATAATTATTTTGGAAACAAAGATATTGATAAAAAGACATCATTTCTTTAGCTGTTTTTTTTTTTTTATTGGAAACACACCCTTTATAATATGGATTTATTTTATTATTGAAAACAGGGCCTTGGTGAGGTGGTCAGAGTGGGGTCAGGGGTCAACATGTCCCTGGGACAAGCAGTCATGTACTGTAGGAATGGCAGCTTTGCAGACTATGTGGTAAAATTCTTTGAATATGAATGGACTTTGAATTTGGTTTACAATACCATTGAAATTAGTGAATAATTTAATTTATTGATGACTTGTTTTTACAGAGAGTACCTGCCAAAGTTCTGACCAAGATTCCATCAGCCTCTCCAGAATTTCTACCATTCCAACTGAGTGGACCAACTGCTGCTGTAGCCCTAGACAAGGTACGAATGTCAGGGTATTCTGAAACCTATAGCTTTAATGGGAAAACCTACAGTAACATTCTACAAAGACAACATTATGTAGGTTTTATGGGAGTGACCTGCAGTGTAACACTCTACAAAGACAACATTATGTAGGTTTCATTGGAGTGACCTACAGTGTAACATTCTTCATAAACATTGTATTATGTAGGTTTAATGGGAAAACCTACAGTAACATTCTATAAAGACAACATTATGTAGGTTTAATGGGAAAACCTACAGTAACATTCTACAAAGACATCATTATGTAGGTTTAATGGGAAAACCTACAGTAACATTCTACAAAGACATCATTATGTAGGTTTAATGGGAAAACCTACAGTGTAACATTCTACAAAGAAAACATTATGTAGGTTTCATGGGAGTGACCGGCAGTGTAACATTCTACAAAGACAACATGATGTAGGTTTCATGGGAGTGACCTGCAGAGTAACATTCTACACAGACAACATTATGTAGGTTTCATGGTAGTGACCTGCAGTGTAACATTCTACACAGACAAGATTATGTAGGTTTCATGGGAGTGACCTACAGTGTAACATTCCTCATAAACATCATGTAGGTTTCATGGGAGTGACCTACAGTGTAACATTCTTCATAAACATTGTATTATGTAGGTTTAATGGGAAAACCTACAGTAACATTCTACAAAGACATCATTATGTAGGTTTAATGGGAAAACCTACAGTGTAACATTCTACAAAGGCAACATTATGTAGGTTTCATGGGAGGGACCTACAGTGTAACATTCTACAAAGAAAACATTATGTAGGTTTCATGGGAGTGGCCTGCAGTGTAACATTCTACACAGACAAGATTATGTAGGTTTCATGGGAGTGACATGCAGTGTAACATTCTACACAGACAAGATTATGTAGGTTTCATGGGAGTGACCGGCAGTGTAACATTCTACAAAGACAACATTCTGTAGGTTTTATGGGAGTGACCTGCAGTGTAACACTCTACAAAGACAACATTATGTAGGTTTCATGGTAGTGACCTGCAGTGTAACATTCTACAAAAACAACATTATGTAGGTTTCATGGGAGTGTCCTGCAGTGTAACATTCTACAAAGACAACATTATGTAGGTTTCATTGGAGTGACCTACAGTGTAACATTCTACACAGACAACATTATGTAGGTTTCATGGGAGTGACCTGCAGTGTAACATTCTACACAGACAACATTATGTAGGTTGCATGGGAGTGACCTGCAGTGTAACATTCTACAAAGACAACATTATGTAGGTTTCATGGGAGTAACCTGCAGTGTAACATTCTTCATAAACATCATGTAGGTTTTATGGGAGTGACCTACAGTGTAACATTCTTCATAAACATTATGTAGGTTTTATGGGAGTGACCTACAGTGTAACATTCTACAAAGACAACATTATGTAGGTTTCATGGGAGTGACCTAGAGTGTAACATTCTTCATAAACATCATGTAGGTTTTATGGGAGTGACCTACAGTGTAACATTCCTCATAAACATCATGTAGGTTTCATGGGAGTGACCTACAGTGTAACATTCTTCATAAACATTGTGTAGGTTTTATGGGAGTGAACTACAGTGTAACTTTCTTCATAAACATTATGTAGGTTTTGTTGGAGTGACCTACAGTGTGATATTCTACATAAACAATTCAGATTTAATGGTATGATGTAACAGATATATCAATAGATTTAAAATCAATTATAAATGTTATGATCCAACTTTTTCAGTTTGGAGACTTAAAGAAAGGAGAAACTGTCTTGGTCACAGGTAATTATATTACGTATTTTATATGGTTACATATAAAAAAATCTTTATCAAAAGTTATGTTTTACCCCATGTGACCTCTGTTAAAATCTTTCCTAGTGACCTCTGTTGAAAAAGGTTCCCAAGGTGACCTACTGTTTAAATCTTCCCGAGATGACCTACTTTTCAAATCTCCCTCAGGTGACCCTCTGCTGCATTTCCCCCGAAGGGACTCCTGCTGAGTTCTACAACTTTTAATTTCCTTTCGGCAAACTGTTTAATTATCTTACATAATAATATTGTCCATTTCTATGTTTAAAGCTGCAGCTGGTGGAACAGGACAGTTTGCTGTAAGTATTTTATCCTGCTGAACGTGATACTAAACCTAGTAAAATTATATACTGGTCACTCATTAACTTTGTCAGATAAAAGAAAACAACGTTCTTTGGCTATTATAGAATAAAGTAATATTGATTGTCATAAGACCATGTGAAATTATTTTTAATTATTGTATGCTGGGCCTAGATTAATTCTACCTAAGATCAACTGGGGTTTCGGTGTGAGTGAACAGTTTTAAATCATGTAATTATTGACACTTTTATACAATTTGGATAAGATTCATTCTGGCAGCAAGTTAACAGAAATGATGCTACACAAGATCTAGAGTTGGTCACTTGAAAAGGATACCAAGCTTTGTGAAACTGTTTTTTGTTTTACCCACTAAAAAAATACCTACCAGGTATATACTCAAAGCTCAATTTCTCTGAAAGAGTGTGTTGTCATTTTGTAGGTTCAGTGGGCAAAGAAAGCTGGCTGCCATGTTATTGGTACTTGTTCTACAGAGGAGAAGGTGGAATTTCTCAAGGTAACATTACTTATTATGTCATTGAAATATTTTGTTTAATATTTGGAAGATGATTATATTATAATAAAAATATACATTGTTATAATGAAAGTAAAATAATATTTGAATAAAAAAACAATTAAGAAAATGTGATGTGCTAACTCAACTCTACGTTCCATTTGTTCAGGTTTCATAAGTCCTATAGAGATATTTTATTTGTGTAAAGGAAATAGATATTAAAATCAATTAGTTTCATTTTTATACAGAAATTAGGATGTGACCGACCCATTAACTACAAAAAAGAAGATTTAAAAACAGTTTTGAGGACAGAATACAAGGTAAGATATACTTGTAACAACATTGGTATTCTACGGGTAACAAAGTTGAGTTTTCAATGTTCATTATCAGTAAACATCTTTGTCAGCGACTGAAACATCCCACGACAGAAATCTCCCTCATTCCATATTTCTTTGCTGCAGATGTCTTGAAAATGTAAAACAGAGTTTACACTTGATTATAACTGTTTCAAATATCAAGCAAACAATCTGACAAGATTTTCACTCATGCAAATCCAAGTGGTTTAGTTAACATTACAGGTAATCCCAAAAACACAATCCCTAGATGATAACTTGATCATAAACAAATCAGGTATGGATCTGTAATTACCCTTCACAGGTGCATGGATGAGTAATATCTAACTACGTATCTTAGCTAGGTTTTGACAAATACATTTCATCAACCTTTATTGCATCTAAAATGATTAAACTCGTTTTTAGATTTACATTTAAGTAAAACTCTCTCCGTCTGTTTCCCCAGAAAGGTGTCGATGTTGTGTATGAGTCTGTGGGAGGAGACACATTTGACACCTGTTTAAATAGGTAAGTTACAAAGAAACATTTGACATCTGTTTAAATAGGTAAGTTACAAAGAAACATTAGACACCTGTTTAAATAGGTAAGTTAAAAGAAACATTTAACACCTGTTTAAATAGGTAAGTTACAAAGAAACATTTGACACCTGTTTAAATAGGTAAGTTACAAAGAAACATTTAACACCTGTTTAAATAGGTAAGTTGCAATGAAACATTTGACACCTGTTTAAATAAGTTAAGTTATAAAGAAACATTTGACACTTGTTTTAATAGGTAAGTTACAAAGAAACATTTGACACCTGTTTAAATAGGTAAGTTGAATTCTTTATTCTACATGTCATGGTGACAAGTCCATCGCCATATTTATATATTCCAAACAAAACAATACTATTGTAGATGCAGTCACTAAATCGGTTTGTTTTGTTTCGACAGCCTGAACACCCAAGGTCGCCTCATCGTTATTGGGTTTATTTCGGGCTATGAGTCAGAATTGGGCTTCACTCCCTCCAGAGTCATGGCTTCTCTTCCTGTCAGGGTAAGAATTACTGATGTCATTGTTTGTAGAGGTCAAAGTTCATCCCCATCCATTCAGGGTAGAACTCACCAAAATTAATTTTTAGGTTAGAGTTCTTCCTCATCATTTCATTATCTTTGCTGGTCATCTACAACTGTAGGGCCAAAGCGGAATAGGTCCCCTATTATCATTAATGTACATACAGTACTACACAATTTTGTCAATATTCTTTCAAAAAAATGATATGCTCAGTCACAAGATTTTTTTCAGCATACCTTCAATGTCATTGTTAGTACATCTTAAATGTGTTTGTGAATATATTGCATACCCAGTAACTCTTGCATCTTGATGGGTCTGTAACTAGGGTTGTAAATGCATGTCTAAAATGTGCACAGAAGAAAAAAATCACAGAGATGCAAAGTGTATTGTGAATTTAGAAATAAATCTATTGTCCATTTTCACAGGTGGTTACCAGGTTACTGACATCTAGTTCTCAAGCATTCAGCGTTTAAGCAAATTCAAAGTATATAAATGCCTAAGTTAACTACTTGAACTCCTCACATTGGAACACATCAGGCAATGTCTATAAAATACACTCACTACTGAAAGTGAAAGTAGTTATCGCCATATTGCAAGTATAAGATGATGCTTTTATTTTGTGATATTGTATTTTGGTACAATATTTCATTATCACAAAATATATTATGATACATCAGTTCCTTATCACAAGACACTGTCACATTTGCCATTTTATGACAACCACATTATCCTTTACTAAAATGTAAATTGCAAAACCATAGGTCCAGATATGAGAAAATATACATGTAGGTATATACATTTTTTTTGTAGTTACTGCAGAAGTCAGCATGTGTTCAAGGATTTTTTTTACCTCATTTTGAGCAAGATTGGATGAAATCTGCCTCAAAGCTTTCTGAGATGTACAGCCAAGGAACTCTCAAAAGTATTGTTGACAATGGGGACACAACGTCCACTGGTCCGTTTATTGGTCTGGAGAAAATTGCAGATGCAGTGGAGGTAACTACAGCACTTCAGCATTCAGTATCGGGCAGACTTGATGTAGTAACGACAAATCATCTGTCCAAGCCACTCAGACTAGGTCGCATTCAGATAGGATGGGAGGTCATCTGTCCCAGCCACTCAGACTAGGTCGCATTCAGATAGGATGGGAGGTCATTAGTCTCAGCCACTCGGACTAGGTCGCATTACATATAGGACGGGAGGTAATTAGTCCAAGACAGTCAGACTAGGTCACATAACATATAGGATGGTAGGTCATTAGTCCAAGGAGGTCAGACTAGATCACATTACATATAGGATGGGAGGTCATTAGTCCAAGACAGTCAGACTAGGTCACATAACATATAGGATGGTAGGTTATTAGTCCTAGAGTTGAGATCTACCAGACAAGCTGTTTCCCCCAGAGTTGGAACCAACCAGACAAACTGTTTCTACTAGAGTTAGGACCGTCCAGACAAACTGTTTCCCCCCAGAGTTAGGACCTACCAGACAAACTGTTTCCCCCAGAGTTGGAACCAACCAGACAAACTGTTTCTACTAGAGTTAGGACCCACAAGACAAACTGTTTCCCCCCAGAGTTGGGACCTACCAGACAAACTGTTTCCCCCAGAGTTGGAACCAACCAGACAAACTGTTTCTACTAGAGTAAGGACCCACCAGACAAACTGTTTCCCCTCAGAGTTGGGGCCCATCAGACAAACTGTTTCCCCACAGAGTTGGGGCCCTCCAGACAAACTGTTTCCCCCCAGAGTTTGGACCCACCAGACAAACTGTTTCCCCTCAGATTTGGGGCCCACCAGACAAACTGTTTCCCCGCAGATTTGGGGCCCACCAGACAAACTGTTTCCCCCCAGAGTTGGGGCCCACCAGACGAACTGTTTCCCCCCAGAGTTTGGGCCCACCAGACGAACTGTTCCCCCCAGAGTTTGGACCCACCAGACGAACTGTTTCCCCCCAGATTTGGGGCCCATCAGACAAACTGTTTCCCCCCAGAGTTGGGACCTACCAGACAAACTGTTTCCCTAGCCTGTATCATGTCGTTTTGTTGTCTGTATGTTTTGGAATCATATCTGTCCTTCATCTGCATGTATCAAATTATTTAATTGAATTTAATGGAATAATGATAGATAATAATAATCAATATCCACAGATATTTAACATATGTGTATGAATGTCAATAACAGCATTATAAATATGTGTAACATAATCTTATTGTGTTTGACATATCATAGATTGTATCTTTAAAATGTTCCTCAATTAAACATGACTTGCAATACTCATATTTTTCTTTCCTGAAGACATTTACTGTTTGTAGTATTGTTAACATGTCTGTCTTTGTGAAGATAGTTTCAATTATAATCATTGTTAATTATTGTGTCTTTGTGAAGATAGTTTCAATTATAAGTATTGTTAACATGTCTGTCTTTGTGAAGATAGTTTCAATTATAAGTATTGTTAATTATTGTGTCTTTGTAAAGGTATTTTACATGGCTGTGTTTAGCGAGTATAATTACTGTCATATGGATATATCTGTTGTGTTTCAGTATATGTACACCAAAAAGAACTTGGGAAAGATTGTGGTGGAACTGAACAAACCAGGGACCAACAGCAAGCTATGATAACGGCCATCCAGCAAACCAGTCTGCCAACAACCAGTAGTAGTGATGATTATAACCCGTCAAACGTCAAATTTGAATTCCAGTTCATTACCAATTTTAGCCAATCACATAATAACTTGTGATTTCAATGGACATTATGATTCTCATGAAGCTATAGATATCTCAATAAGCCTCATATTTTAATCATTTGTATGTATCTTAGTGTCTTATTGAATTCTATGACGTAGAACAGAGATGCTAATTTGTGCACAAGAAAAAATATATATGCAGACATTCATATTGTGATGAACCTATATGGGACATGATTCCGGTGACAGGAGGTCATCTAATCCTCGACAGATTACCCCAACACTCCATATTGGTGGTGGCCCTGGTCATAAATCCACAGTCTGTCGAGGAATAAATCATCATCTAGTCACTAAGCAGTAAATGTGTGTGTAAATAATTACTGGTGTGAATGATTACATAGGAAGATAGTGTTGTATACTATTGAATGAAAATATGAAATATTTCATTTGTGCGATAATAATTTATGAATTTTGCTGAATAACATGATACCGGATAGGCAGCAATGTTTCTATACTCTATCACAGTGGTGCAGAAATATTAAGCCAAATTTGTATGATTTTTAATAAAATATTTAATTAAATTGTATATTTTCAGTCATATTTGACGCTCAGGAGTATATTTTTTCAGTCATATTGACACTCGGGAGTATGTATTTTCAGTCATATTTGACACTCGGGAGTATGTATTTTCAGTCATATTTGACACTCGGGAGTATGTATTTTCAGACATATTTGACACTCAGGAGTAAATATTTTCAGTCATTTGACACTCAGGAGTGTATATTTTCAGTCATTTGACACTCGGGAGTATATATTTTCAGTCATATTTGACACTCGGGAGTATGTATATTCAGACATATTTGACACTCAGGAGTATGTATATTCAGACATATTTGACACTCAGGAGTGTATATTTTCAGTCATAATTGACACTCGGGAGTATATATTTTCAGTCATATTTACATCTGGTAGTGTGTATTTTCAGTCATATTTGACACTCAGGAGTATATGTTTTTAGTCATAATTGACACTCGGGAGTGTATATTTTCACCCACAAGATACAAAACCCTTAAAAATTACATGTTTTGAGTTGTTCTTTAAGATTAAATAACTAGATCTTAGAATAAAGGAATAAGTGAGCAAATTCACTGGTTGAAAATGCTAAATTTAAGGGTTCAAAATCAAGACTCTCCCTCCTTAATAAGGAGAGTTTGCAAGTATGATGTATATTTACAGTCAATGACATCTGCACTCAATGAAGGTACTCTGACCTTCATGTTCATGTGTTATATCAATACCTCCCGTTACCTATGACGTCACCCTATATAGTATGTGTGCCTGTGATGGGCTGTAAGTGCCCTCCATGTTACACAGAGAACACCAGTTATCAGGTTGTCATATTTAGTGTAAAGTCAATAATGAAGTTTTTTTTATTTTTGAAATATTCACTTTCTTTTATGACCTACCATCCTATATGTAATGTGACCTAGTCTGACTGTCGGGGACTACTGACCTACCATTCTATATGTAACATGACCTAGTCACAAATGGGCTAATGTGATACAGTAACTGAAATGCTAAAGAAATATACAAAGGCATCAGCACAAAAGGATAAAATAAAATGTCTTTAAGAAAGATAAATTTTAAACCACAAAGTCAACACACAATGATTATATACCACAAAATCAACACACTAGGACTAAATACCGCCAAGCAAACACCATGAAAATATACCACAGAGTCAACACAAAAGGACAAAACAACACAAAGTCAACATTCACTCAATGACAAAATACCACAAAATCAACACACTGACAAACAAGTATTAATCTCTCACTTTTACGCTTTAAAGCGGACCAAGGTCATATATATACTTAAATATCCTAAAAAGCCTAATGGCTAAATATCTTTACTTATTATCTTGGTTATTGAGAACAAGATTTTAACATTTCACCCAGTGACTTTGAAAGTCTAACAAGGTCATTCAGTTGAACAAACTTGGTAGCCCTTTATCCAAAATATCATCACCCAGTGACTTAAGGTAATTGAGAAAAGTCATTTGAGGACTTTAACATATTTGACCTATGTAACCTAGAAAGTGGGTCAATGTCATTCCTTAATCAAACTGGGTAGTCATTCACCCCAGCATGCTACTGGTCAAAATACATCACTCTACGCTTAATCAAAAGGATTTAGTACTTTTGACGTTGAATATCAGGATAAGCAATTCAATTTAATAAAATGTATAGCCCTTGATTCTATCCAGCTTAATGGGCCAAATATCATCACCTTGTGTCTTTTGGTTATTCAGAAGAATGTGAAAGTAGATAGAGGTCATTTTCATTTGCAGACTTTGTGGGGCTCCATCCCTGACAAGGGCTTTCAGATTTTCAGAAGAAGTCGTTTAAAGTTTTTGACATATTTGACCCTTGTAACCTTAAAAGTTGTTCGATGTTATTTTCAATCGCAAAATGTCTAGGGATCCACCCTATGAAACTACTATCCAAACGTGACAATATGCCGTTCTGTTCTTCAAAAGAAGTCCATTGAAATTTTGATATCTTTGACCCCTGTGACATTGACAGCAGGTCAAGGTAATTTTTGTTCGCAAAATCTGTCTGGCTCAATACCAGCAAATTATCATTACACAAGGTCTCTTGGTTCTTCAGAGGATGTCGTTTGATGTTTTTTGACATATTTTACAAATGTGACCTTAAAAGTAAGTTGATGTCATTTTCATTCACAAGATTTGTCGGGCTCTAACCTTGAAAGCTATAAAACATATATCACGACTCTATGCCTTTCAGAAGAAGCCGTTTGAAGTTTTTGACATATTTGAACCCAGTGACCAGCCAAATATCATGACTCTAGGCCTTTCAATCCCTCAGAAAATGTCGTTTAAAGGAAAAGTTGAAGGTCGACGGACGGACGCTCCCAATACCATTATACGTCTTGACTGGTGTATAAAAACTAAAGTATTTTAAAATAAAGTTCCCAATACATGTAGCTCCAGATATGTGACCCGTTATATAATATTTTTCTTCTGTATAATATTAGTCCAAACATAAGTCTCTAAGCTGAAGCTGTAAAATAATGGTCCACTTTTAATGGTAAGTTTTGTATGAAATTAGCATCTCTCCGGAAACAGCTCCTCTTCATGAGCACGTGGATTTGTTGAAATGATGAAAAATATTCAACAAAAAGTTCAATTACTTTGCTGATGAAAGAAGGTCCTTACCTTTATAACCAGCATGAAAATAAGTGGTTACGGATTATATCTATAGTTCCGTTAGCAAAAAGTTGCATTGTGTCGGCCTAAAATATAATCCGATCTTTTTTGGGTTAAGATTGAACTCTTGATTACAATACAGAATTAACAACAGTACTGGAATAGATGAGTTGTGAAGGTTAATGAAGAATATAAGGTCTCTAGTCAGAAAACTTTGATTTCGTATCCCGTACACCGACCCCATATGTTGACAATACAGAGACTGGACATCATCATTTCATGGTCAGGAATGTCAATCCGTTTTTGTTTTACGGTGAATACGCAAGTTGGCTTTGTGAATGGCTCCGTCCGTACAGGCGACCCAGATCTGACCCTTGTTGTCGAATACCGCACTGCGCATGTTCTGCAGCATCACAGTGTCGTTCATGACCCAAAGGACGTCTCCGAGTTTGTCAAACACAACAATTCGCCTGTTGCCGTTGTCCAGGACAAACACATTCGCGTCAGAATTGACCGCTAGACTTACGGGTTCATACAAACTCATTGCGCCTTTTTTATTGGTGTCGCTATCTAACTCACCGCTCCATGTTTTCTTGACTTTCCCATCCTTGTCCAGTGTTATTAGGGTCCCGTCTACAATGACCAACACATCTCCTGTTGGACCGATCTCAAGCAACTGTCTTGGTCTGAGGAATATTTTCTTGAAATCCCGATCGAGACGGATTCGCTGTAGATTGCCTCCGGTAGGAGAATACCTGCCGATCTCTCCGTGATCAATTGCTTGGAGACAAACTAATATTTCATCCGCAGAGGTGATGTGAATCCCGTAGGTCACGAGCGGTTCTGTTTTTATAATGCTGTCCCAGAGTATGATGCCTTTCCTTTTTATCCTAGAGCCGTTGTTCACTGATGCAAACAGTTCCTTTTTGCTGTTGACACCTATTTCAGATACATCAAAGTTCGTCAGAATTTGTTTAGCAGAATTGCCCTTGTCATCAAAATACTTGATGCATCTTTTTCCGGTCCAGGTCACCCACACGCCGCCCTCTCTTGATGCAGCTAGTTTGACCACTTCGCCTTTTTGGTCATTGCATTGAAACTGAGAATGATTTATTATCTCTACATCATCGGACGTAGTCAGCTCATCATATATTCTCTCAAAAGCTTTTCCGGTGTTGTCAGTTCTTGTTTCCTCTGTAGAGAGGTTTGCCGTCGGTGCAGCGGGATAGAGCTGGATGACGTCGTTGGAATCTGACACGAAATTCTGCCCAACAATAGACACACAATCAGATCCATGCGAGTCTTCGTCAGAAATGGTACCAAGCATGGCATCGGTATCAAGCTTCACCGAGTTTCCGTCTGTCAAAGAGAGCACATTAGGACTATATACAGACGATTGGCGTTTGGCATGTATAAGTTCGTCTGTCATCACCAGATATGCTTCGTGGTTCTCGTCACTGCAACGATCCAGAGCTGTTTGCAGTTTGTTTTGGTCCTCTTTAATTTGGTTCTGGCGATCCTTCATACGTTCTTTGTTTTCCTCAACCTGCTTCTGAAGCAATAATTTTGTCTTTGTCTTCCAGGATTCAATATCAGATAGAAAAGAGTCACTTCTTTTACCTATCGCATTGTTTATTTCCTCGATGTTTTCGTTGAATTGTGTTTCTTTTTCCAATTGATGTGATAAAAGAGCCTCCACATTTTCCTTTATTTTACGTAATTCTTCTTTCCTCTTCTCAGTGGCTGCTCTGCGTTCCTCGACTACCTCCTCGAGTGATATAAATACATGTCCAGAATGGGTTTTAGATACCATACCTTGAATACAGACAAACATCTGACAGGTTTGACACCACGCGGTCACTAATCCTGTATGGCCTGGAACCATACATTGTTTTGCCAGCTTTGAATCCATCGGATCTACTGCTACAACCTACAATGAATAAATATTATAATACATCAAGTCTGATGGAGTTCGTTAACCCATCCCGACACCCTTACACCCCCACACCCTCACACACAAACATATGTCAACTTCTTATCTACAGTCTAGACACTACTACATGGTAATATACGAGGTTATCACCACTACTACACGGTATATCACCACTACTACACGGTAATGTACGAGATTGTCACCACTACTACATGGTAATGTACGAGATTATCACCACTACTACACGGTAATGAACGAGATTATCATCACTACTACACGGTAATGTGCGAGATTGTCACCACTTCTACAGGGTAATGTACGAGATTGTCACCACTTCTACAGGGTAATGTACGAGATTGTCACCGCTTCTACATGGTAATGTGCGAGATTATCATCACTACTACATGGTAATGTACGAAATTATCACCACTACTACACGGACTATCATCACTACTACACGGTATGTACGAGATTGTCACCACTACCACACGGTAATGAACGAGATTAGCATCACTACTACACGGTAAGGTACGAGATTGTCCCCACTTCTACATGGTAATGTGCGAGATTTTCAGCACTACTACACGGTAATGTACGGGATTATCATCACTACTGCACGGAAATGTACGAGATTATCATCACTTCTACACGGTAATGTACGAGATTATCACCACTACTACACGGTATATCATCACTACTACACGGTAATGTACGAGATTGTCACCACTTCTACATGGTAATGTGCGAGATTATCATCACTACTACACGGTAATGTACGAGATTGTCACCACTTCTACATGGTAATGTGCGAGATTATCATCACTACTACACGGTAATGTACGAGATTATCATCACTACTACACGGTAATGGAGATTATCGCCACTACTACACGGTAATGTACGAGATTATCATCACTACTACACGGTAATGTACGAGATTATCATCACTACTACACGGTAATG